TGTCCCGGGTCATGTGACTGGCCTCTGTCAGGATTGGAATGCAATGTCCCGGGTCATGTGACTGGCCTCTGTCAGGATTGGAATGCACTGTCCCAGGTTTTTTGACTGGCCTCTGTTAGGATTGGAATGCACTGTCGTGAGTCATGTGACTGTCCTCCATCAGGATTGGAACACACTGTCCCAGGTCATGTGACTTGCTTCTGTCAGGACTGGAATGCACTGTCCCGGGTTATGTGACTGTCCTCTCTCAGGATCATGTCCAGTAGTCCTTCGCACTGCACTGTGTAGTATCATTCCTCCCCGTCATACCACACTGTTAGCATGTGTTTGTGCAGCACTGAGCAGCTTGTCTAGCTGAGAGTGTGCAGAGAGCAGTGACTCCTTATAAGGGCACGTCTACAATCCAGAAGATGGGCGTGGCTGGGACTGCGTTCTGCTGCGAGCTCCCATGCGACCGTGCGCGAGGCGACACTGGGTCAGGACCCCCAGGTGGGCTTCCCGCCGCCTGCCACATTGGCCTGGATCCACTGTTGTGCTGCTGTTGTTGGAGGATCTAGGACATTCCAGCCCCATGGAAGCGATGCTGAGATAAGCCTTAATGAGTTTACCAAGCCGTTAACCAGCCCCCCGGGAATGATGCTGTTCTCAGGGACCTGAGATCTACCAGCTTTCAGAGACTGGGCCAGTACTGCCCCCTGCAGGCTGGAGGGGAAGCAGCTGTGGGTGGGGAGCAGGGGGAGGAGCAGACCAGGAACTGGAAGCAGGGAGGCACAGGATCACCATGTTATGGTTTCTAACCTGGTCTTCAAGGATTTAGTCACTAAAACAATCATATGTGTCCACCTGCCTGTCAACCTATAAACTGGTCATGGCTGTTGACTTACCTAAATCTTTTTCTCAACCAAATGCTTGTTCAGTTGTTTTCTGCTGTTTTGAGCTCTACTCCGGATATGCACGCACATGGAGAACAACCTATTGAGCAACCTCTGTTTACATATTTCTTGTTGCTTGGTGACCCTTATTTACTCGTTGTTACCCACCCCTCCATCAGGCAGCTGGCGAGGGAGTCCGTGTCATCATGGAGACTGCCTTAACAGCCCGGGACCGGGTTGGGGTTCAGGATTTTGTCCTGCTGGAAAACTACACCAGCGAGGCGGCCTTCATCGAGAATCTGCGCAAGAGGTTTAAGGAGAACCTCATTTATGTAAGGCACACTCCAATAGGATCTCATCTACACAATGCAAAGGAAGAGAACCTCATGTACACTAACAATTAAAAGTTTTTGAACACCACAAGTTATTACCACTTTTCCACACCCAAAGAGAACCTCATCTACATAACAAACACAAAGGGAACCTCATTTATGTAAGGCACACACAAAGAGAACCTCATGTACATAACACACACAAAGAGAACCTCATGTACATAACACACACAA